TATTTAACCCTTTTAAAACCACTTTTTTATTACTTTCTCTTTTTCAACTATTATTTCCAACATTTCAATCTCTAATTGGTCCGTTATCCCATTTTGCTTTATATACCTTACCAAAGCCCCCTTGGGCTAGGTACTCAATATTAGAAAAATTTTCGTAAGTTATCCATTCTAATATTTCATTATAACTACTTGCTTTTGACTGATGCGTTCGAATAAATTCGTCAATTTGCCGATTACCACTAGTTCATTTGCTAAAATTTTCTCGCAAATGTTGAATAATATTTAGTAATTGTCAATTTTGCTTGTTTTTTAAATTAAGTTTGGCCTCTAATTCACCTTTATCCTTTTCTAATTGCCGAAGATATTCATTTTTTAACTTCCCAAGGTCATTATTCAATGTTTCCTTGGCTGTCATTTTTTTACTGTCTATCAATCAAATACAAAAAGAGGTATAATGTGAGCCAAAATGTTCTTCTAAAGAATTAATCAACTCATGAGTTTGGTGCTGACTAAGGTCATGAACTAGCCATTTAGAAACCACTTCTTCACTATTTTTTTCTCAGTTGTCACCTTTAATACTACTAATAAAAATGCTTCCTCCCGGTATATTTAAGATTTCCTCGTAATTATTAAAAATATGTTTGAATACCTTTTCACGAATAATATTTTCTTTTTCTTGAATTTGCTCTTTTAACTTTTTCCTCTCATCTTCTAACTGCTTAATGTCTGCTTGGATGTTAATATTTTCTTGAATGACTTTATTATCAGCCCCAAATTCTTGGTTAGCACTCTCTTGTTTTTTCTCCTCCTTGCTAGCAGTTGATTTACTTTTATCAACATTTTCCGCAGAAACATTTTTTTTATCGTCTTTGTCATCTTTGGCCTTAGAAGCAGCATTTATTTTAATCCTCAACTTTCTAAGTTTTTTCTTTTGCAGTCTGCTTGCTAATTCTTCTTCTAACTCTTTTTTGCTCTCCATATAGCCAACAATTTCGGTGCTTAATTCTTGTAATTTAGGAGGTTTATAAACTGCCTCTTGATATTTTTTTTGCAAGTGGCCTAACAATATTTCTCTTGATTTATTTCTCGCTCTCTTGTTTGATTTTATTTCGCTTTCTCTTTCAATTTCTTTCTCTTCATTTTCATTATCAACTTCTGCAATAGTGATTGGCGGATTATTGACGTGGATAACTTCCTTTTGGCATGATTCAATTATCTCCGCTAATTCACCGCCTCCTTTAATCATTAATTCAATATCCTCTCCACATTTCTTTGGCTTTTTAAAATCCTCAAAGCGGGTGCGAATGATAGTAGTATGCTTAGCAATATCTCGATCAAAAATGACTG